CCTTTGAAAAAGAGTGTTTACGTTGTATTAAATAGCAGTATAGAAATTTTCATTTTTACTACATTCAGCACCTTGAAAAAAACCGATTTCTACTTACGTTACCTGAGGGGACATTTGTGCTGATTGCCATGGATATTATCATGCTTATGACCTGACCAGAATGTTCAGAATTCCACATAAGGAACTTTTTTGAGCTATGTGAACACACAATGAAACTGTCATCCTAAATCACATCAAGTTTAAAATGTCTAAGTTGTTCCTCAAAAATTCACAGCTTGGTTTCCTACCCCAGGTGAAAAAAGGCTCAACAGAAATGAGAAATGAAAAATAAACATGTAACAGTCTCTATCAATGAGCACATGGGCACATCAAATACTTTTTACAGGAGCAAAACCAGCAGGTGAATTAAAGCAATAGAATCAGAAGTTTATGTTCTGTGATTAAAAGTTCACACTCCTCTTGGATCACCACCTTACTCTTACTCCATAAGGTAACAAACAGCTCAGCTTTCCTCTTGAGAGAAGTTTCCTCTTCCCTGCATTAGAATGCCACAAGGGCTCACTTGGGGCTTTTGGCTGCAGACAGTTGTTAAGTTCTGGGAACAGCCAGATCTCAGCTGGTATTTTAATAGGATTGGCTCTCTAAACTTCAGCTCCAAAGATGATTGCTCTTGTGTACTGGGACTGAGGTCACTAAGAAGGCTGAAGCTAAAGTTACTAAGACTAGCAATCTTTTTAAATAACACCGGGATAAGAAAGATGTTAGAAATACTTCAGAACATGGCTGGCCCTTGGTTTTTTCCTGTGTGTTACCTACAAGTCCCTTCTATGGATCACTGCTAAAATATCTGTACTAGTTTAACTTTCACCTGTGAGAGTGGGACAGCTTTTAGAGAGCCAAAGCCCAGCTCAGGGCCCTTGAATAAAAATCACCACTGATGTCTGAGAGGTACATACATCACAGCAACACGAAAATCAGCAAGCAAACCAAGGGCTGACTGCAAGTCATTCAAGCAGACACGAGTTCAGAAAAGAGTTTCAGAGTGTACTTTGCATGGACAAGAAAGAATCAGCTTCAAACACTGAGCTGATCTCAGTCCTTTGATGAGATTCCCTTACAGTCAGGGAGCAAACACCTCCTTGCAGTCTTTTCAGAAAACTGTCCCTCTGTTACATTAACAGCATTTGCAGCATTACTGACAGTCAATGAATAACTAATAAATGTAACTATCTTCGAAATGAAGTTGCTGCTACAAATGTGCCTCCTCTAAACTCTCTGTAAACACCCAAAATTCTTCCTGTTACTTTTGCAGCTCCTTCAATACAGGCTGAAAGCATTCTAGAACAGTCACAGCACATGTTTTCTGACAGAGCACAAAGTATCCTTTCACAAAATCAGAATCACAGAATATCCTGAGTTGGAAGAGACCCACAAGGATCACTGAGTCCAGCTCTAGGCCCTGCACAGCACAGCCCCAACAATCCCATCAGTGCCTGCTCCTTTGTTGCCCCTCATGAGGAAGTTGTATACAGCAATCAGGTCTCCCCTCAGTCTCCTCTTCTTCAGACTGAACAGACCAAGTGACCTCAACCACTCCTTCTATGGCTGTTCATATTCAATTCATGTTTAGTAATGCCAGAAATTAAGTACACGAACTCCTGGGATTGGAACAACATGGTAATGGATTTCATGGAAATTGCCATAAGCAGCATGTTGGGGAAAGAGCAATTACATGGGCTGAAGTGTACCTTTATAAAAATAAAAACAATTATTTATATGCTGAAGCCACAGGCCCCAAATGATAAAGATTTAATATATTAACCAAATAATCACTGTGACAAGATGAGAACCCCAGAAAGTCACTGGTGGTGCCCCAGGCAGTACCTGCCGGGCTCGGTGAGGCAGAAGGCTGCGATGTGCTCCCCTGACGCCAACCGTGGCAGGTACTTGGCCTTCTGCTCATCAGTGCCAGCGATGAGGATTCCCTGCACCAAGAATGAACACAAAACTCTCAGCATCAACCTGGGTAAAAAGGAACGAAGCTGACAAGCTTCATCACGTTTAGAAAGCTTCATTTGCAAATGTTATGGTGTAATAAACCACAGACTTTATTATTTATCAGACATTAAAATATTTTTCATTAGCATTGTCTGCTCAATTCCATGAGGAATTTTTTCTTGCTGTAATGGACTTACTGCTCATTCTAGCTTCAGACTACCATCCATTCACCATGAAAAGGCAGATACCTACATCTGTATTATACAGAAAATTATTTCAAAGTTCACATGCTTGCTCTCGGCTGTTTTCTTCTCTAAGCTCTCCCAATCTGAGGCCTCGTTCAGCTAGACAAAGTTCCACCCTTCTGAATTCCCTACATGGCTGATACCCCTCCCCATAATGTTAGGCCCTCTGAAACTTTATTTATTTCAATATTTATTCTAGCTACTTTTATCAAGTTTGCTCAATTAAAAAAAACCAACTTGGGATCATTAAAAGTATTTTTTCTAAGAATTATAAGCTCAGTGTTTCTTGGACTAGTAATTTTCTTGTGTACTTCATATTCAGTCCTTCTGCTGCATGAAAGCCACTGGCAGTGTGCTGGGAACACCAACAACCAACATTCCACCTGATTTATACCCCACCACTAATTCTTATTTGTTATACCCACACACCACATTTTTCATTTCATCTTTTCCATGCAAGTTGTGAGAACCACTGGCCCCAATAGAACAGCATTACCTTCAGCCCAATAGCTTGATGTGCTGCCAGAGTGACTGCAATGGATCCATCCAAGGAAGTGATTTCTCCCAGACGTGCGTACATGGTGTTTGACAGACCAAGACCTCCTGGAATGGGTACCACAGTTTATTTGAAGTAGGAATAATTTGCTTCTTCCCCCTCAAAATCCCTTTCAAGTACAGAAACATCAGGAACACAAGACTGTTAACTGGAGAGCAACAAAACTGACACAAAGTAGTTCCCAAACAGGTACTAGAGAAGGATAAAACACAACCCTTCAAAAATGTCTCTAATCAAAAAACGTGAATATATCAAAAAACAAACTTGACACCAGCCTATCCCTTTTTGCAGGAACCAGGATAAATCAAAGCTGCATCCGTACAAGTCTGATGTTCAAGAATTTTACGTTGTCAGGTCCCGAAGTCCTGCTCCCTGTAATTTAAGTATACAGTACTGTGTCTAAGAAACTTAATCTAATAAAGATAATCTTCTGTTCAGGCTAATAATTTTCTGCTTAGGGCAATGTTGTATGTTGGGATAGCACAATCCATAGTCCTAGTACTGTATGTACACAGAATAAACACAAGAACAGTGCCCCTGATACCATTACCTCCCATCAGCACCTCATACACCCTTCCCCTTCAGAGCACCCTTATGAGGGCTGAAACTCACACTCCTGCTATCTATACTCTTACATCTCTTCCCTTTTCCAAGCAGTGCTGGGTTCAGGATTCAGCTTGGAGACTACTGATAATGTGCAGAGAAATTCCAGCGATGCCCATGTTAGAGATAGCCATTATTCCATGATCTACATGAGCTTCATTTTTGCCCAAAGCTCTGCACTTTACTACTATGACAAAACAAGATGAGAAACACCATGCTGTGCACAGACACTGAATGTGTGGGATTGAAGGGGTTTAAAATATGACAAGCACCACCAAAAATCCAGCAGGTTTCAACTATAGAACAGGGGGAATAACCCACTAGAAGTGTATTACTTATGGTGCAGACAAAAAGAGTCTGCTTAAGCAAGGTGGCTGCTTTTCACCTCCTGTTGTTTATCCAGCATACAACTCCACAACACAACAGGACTTTGATTTTCCACAAGTATGCTGAATGGGTTGCACTTTACAAACTGGAAGCTGAGAGAGTATTACTTCACTAGCTTCAAAACAGTAAAAGATCAAAACAACAATAATGTGTTATTAAACTATGACTTCAAAGGCAAATACATTGCCTTTGAGAGTCTTCAAAAAACCTAGCAGAGTGGGAAATTTATTTCTAGTTGATCAACACTAAGTTACACTTCTAACATCACAATGCTTTGTTTGCTGCTTCCAGCACCTCCTGTCCATGGGCACTAACCCTCTCCCTTCTACCAATGTGTTTTTTATCTCCTGAACACCTCTCTCCCCACCTGGGTTAAGGTATTGTGTCCAGATCTTTCTCTTCCCAAGACACCATCCTGAAGGAAAAAACTAGCAAGAGCTTACAAGCCTCTCTTCAGCTCACTCTCACATCACCCTGCCTAGTTCTGGATATGCATGGAAAATATTTAATAACACTTTTAATGCATTTCAAAAGCATTAATTAAGAACTAATTAATTGAGACCACATCAAGTTACAGTACATGCCAGTTGTCCAATATACTTTAATGAAGTCATACATAAACACTTATATTGAAGCCAGTGCAGCACAGCAATCATGTTACCTGATACAAGAAACAAAACAGGTCTAACAAACCCAGGGTGCTACTTTAATGGCAAGTAAATGCTGAGGACTGTCTCCACCTTTATAGAGTAGCATCATAAACACTGAAAAATATATTTTGTTTCATGCTATTCTGTTCAAAAATTACTATCTTCCCCACTGAAACTGTTTTCTGCACATGGCCACACAAGTTTTTCCTCCAAGTTGTTCTTTTTACAGTCTCCTTCTTTTGTAACAAAAAATAGACAGTGCAATGTTCTCGTTTCTTTATAAATTTAGTGGAAAAGATTAGTTTTGACCCCAATTTTGAATCTGTGTGTAAGAATAAAATCAGTATTTTCTTGAAAATTCCTTTGCAAGTCTAAGGGTTAGCCCAGTGAGGAGCTAATGTCTGTGGTCTCAACTGGCACCACAGTGTCCTTTAGGACATAAGTGTGCAGTATTGCACAGGAAAGACTTGATACAAAAGCTACTGTTTTAGCAAGTAGGCATTATACTTTTACACTTCCATATGCTGCAACACACAACCCTATCTGCCACTGACAGCTTTGATATGTCACTTCCATGACTGCACTTTGGACCAGTACAATATTAGGAACAATCACCAAGAACTGCAAGTGCCCTAGAATGTCAAGCTACTCTCCTGCATCTGAAAATAGGACAAAAAGGAAAATGCTATGCTGAGAGGAATTTACATCAGCTAAAACTAGTTACCTGACTGTGGTTCCCAAGGTAAGGGCATGCAGAGCTCCCTCCACAGCCACCAGACATTCCTGGTGCTGTGTCCCTTTATTAACCCGTGAGGAAGCCTCAGCTCCTAATTTAGCCAAATGACTACACAAGGAACAGGACAGACACTTTGCAAGACCTCAATATGCACCACTAAATATAGACCAACTACTGGCTTATTCTTCTGTGACCATTTACTCACCATATTCCTCAGGAATCTGCATGCCAAAGAGACCCAAGTCCTTCAGTCCTTTTAAAGTTTCAGGTGGGATTTTTGCATCTTGATCGATCTTCTTAGAGTCCACTACAAATGCAGAAGGTTTTAACATTCAAAACTGTTTAAATTAGTGCACAGAAAACCTGTGAGACTGCTGTGTTCCCTAAGCAGGGCCAGGTCACTGCATGCCATGAGTCAGCAGCAGTGTGAGCTCCAACCTGACCACCACACTGAGAGCCCAGTCCTGGAAACCTGCACTAACTCACAGAATAAGGGCTGCTGGAGCACCACATCCTCCCTGCTGGAATCTTCCACATCTTCTGAGGCAACTTTAGAGAAGACACAGTGCTCATGGCACAAGAGAGAGACAGACTTCTCATTCCCAGCTTCACAAGAATTACTACTTCTAGCTTCAGCCTTATCTTACTGACTGTTCTGTTTGCCCTCATGATGTATTCAGGAAAATAACTTGGAAGTGGGAAAAATCGGGGTTTTATTACATTTCCCCAAGCCCTTTCTAGGTGTACAGGTTGTGTGCGTGCTTGTCAGCAGATTCCAAGACTGCAATAAGCAAAGTATTTCCAGGATTTTCTATCTGAGCTATGTCCAAGTCCTGAGTAAAAGGAAAGTACATAAATGAGTTAATTACAAAATCTTGTTCTTATGAGTGATTCAAATTCCTGATGGATTAGAAGAGCTGTTCTGCACTCTGTACAGTACTGTGAGAGCAAAAATAAAAACCAATCATATTAAGCAGCTGTAAGCTGCAGCAGAGGGAACACAGCCACCTTTCCAAAAAGCCCACAAGAAGCAACTCTGCAGAAGCAATGGAGCATCCTGAGGAACCCTCATGTTCCCCCCAGTGAAATGGTGCTGGAACTTCTGTGTGAATACAACAGTGGGAAGCAACAACAGTCTGATGCTCTTCTGACATAAGCTGTTCAGAAAGAAAACTCATTTTGAAAAAGACCTTTTGTTCCCTGTACTGATTTATTAGCTCCATTGCACCAGACATGTTTGTGGTGTGCCCTCAGCTGTTCTGGGGAGAGAAAGGTGGGGTCTGTCTCTTCCTCCATTATGCCATACAGACCTAGCCATGGTGCCCAGACACTGGCAAGCTTCCAATGACTGCTGAGCTGCACTTCCCTTCCCAGTGCCAGTCATACCAAATTTCTGCCTAAGGCTGCCCTAAAACCTAGTTTTACCACATACTTAAGTTACCCTGAATAACTAAACAGAAATAGTTGAGGATTCAAAGATGAGCAATTTCCACCTTCAGTTAGGACTTTATAGTTTGACACTTTTGCTCCTCCTTTAAACATCAGGGGCTTTACTCCATAAATTATGTTCCCCAACAGAGCAAAGAATTAAGAAATGTAATCTGCATAACTTCTTTATTTACTGCCAGTGAGCAACACTACAATTTTATAGTTAAAATTACCTGTATCTCACAAATTGGGATCTGTAACAATCACTGGCTTCTCCAAACTCCTGCAGTGTTTGGCAATCCCCACCTGTATCTTTGTCAGAGGGAAGTCTGAGACAATATTGTTTAACTGACTCAGAAATTGCTGTCTGTAAAAACCAATTTTCTACAA